GAATAAAGAGGGAAAAGGGGTTACCTTTGAAGACCAGCAAGAACCAGCAGCCTTTAGACCCAAAAATGCAACCCTCAACCTCTGAAAACAGGCTCCAAGAACCTCCAAGTGATGATGGAAGTGTGTGGCTATGAAGTGGTGTGCAATAGGTCAAGAACAAGACCCTTTTGGATCCTCTAACCCACCCAAATGTAGAGAGAGAGGGAGATATAGAGAGAGAGTGATATATATATATCTTATATATCAGATTTTTTCAACCCTCTAAAGGGGAGGAGAGGCCCTCTTTTTATAGAGAAATCAAGGGGGAAAAACTTCTCTTAGAAGCTTGGAGCAAAAGGGCCAAGCTTCTTAGGCAAAGGGGTCAAGGGGTTCAAGCTTCTTTAAGAAGCTAAAAAAGGGTCAAGCTTCTTGGAGAAGCTAAAAAGGTGAAGCTTCTTGGAGAAGCTAAAAAGGTTCAAGCTTCTTGAAGAAGCTAAAACAAAGGTTCAAAAGGTTCAAGCTCCCTCAAGAAGCTAAAACCAAGGGTTCAAAAGGCTCAAACTTCCTCAAGAAGCTAAAACAAGGGTTCAAAAGGTTTAAACCTCCTCAAGAAAAGGTCTCGGCCAGAAAAAGTGGCCGATTGATCAAAACAATGGCCGACCGACCAAAAACATTGCCGACCGGCCAACACCTTTGGCCGGTAACAAGAAAACAAGGCCGGTGGCCTCAAGCCATGGCCGGTGAGGTGTGGGGATGGCCAACAAGCCATTCCCTGCCCTCAGAAGCAAAACACAAGTGTTTGGTGCAAAACCAAACACAAAACAAGCAAGTCGAGAGGTCTTGAGGCAAGGCGCATGGCCGAGACCTCTGAGAACTCAAGACGAACACGAACATGGATGATCACCGAGTGTTCAAACGATGACGTCCAAGCCTTGAGGACGGTCAAAAATGTGGTGTCTACAATTATACTAACAATACCAAGCAGAAAAACACACACACCCAAGGAGACATCATATTTAACGTGGTTCGGCCTTAATGCCTACGTCTATGGGAGAGTAACCGGTTATCACTATAACAATGGAGAGATTACAGAAAGATTACAATAAAGAAGGAGCTCACACTATAGAGGAAGAGCTCACACTATCCTCACTCACCTACTCACCCGTCTCCCTCTCTCACACCGTGAGAGACGATCTCTCTACCTCACATCTCTCACTCTCTTTTGGTTTGCTCTATCTCTCTACTCTCCTCTCAGCCTCTTCATTTATACACTGAAGAGAAGGTGGAGAGGTTGGCTGGCCTTGCACATGGCCAGCTGTTCCTTCACATGACCAGCTCCTTCCAACATGTTGCAGCACATGAGAAATGATCACCCCTCGCATGGGATGGTCTCCAACAACTATAAATATTTGATTAAGGATAAATTACACTTTACATTAAAATCTTATTCTGGTTAAGTATCAATGTCTCCTTCTGTTACCTATAAATCTAGTCATGTGACAAGTATATAATTACAAAATGAGGATAAGAGAGAAAAAAACATTCCCATTTCTCACCTATATAGAAGTTGTCTCACGTGATAAACATGTGGAAATGTATTTTACATATATATATATATATATATTTATATGTTGAAAATAGGGGATTAAGAGGTAGGAAAATATAGTTCTTGAAATTAAAAAAATGCAACAGTATTATTGTGGAAAACATAGTTTTGCGATTTTAATTTTTATAAAATTCTAATTCATCTCTTTAATCATTCACAATTTGTTTTTGTTTTAATCGAATATAGTCATAATTTGATGTAATTTTTTGGACAAAATATGTATAAACAGAAAATGAAGGTAATTTTCTTTCTTTTTCCTTATTTTATAGTCATATGTTTGTAACATTATTAATTTTTGTTAAAAACTTATATAGTGAAATAATAAAAAGAAGTTATTAACACTAGGATTAATTGTCAGAATTTGATATATACCAAAGTGAGATTTAGTACAGCACAAGAATGTAAAATATGATTTACCTTTTAATTAAAACTTAAATTTTGATATAAGTAATGTACTGAGCCTCTGTTTGGGAAGAGGTTTTTTGGATTTTTTTAGCTAAAATAGTCACAAAAAAATAAAATCGGCTATTTTAGTCATAACAAACAAAACATCACATCCAACCCATAATCATTACATTCTCTTCTCACAAAAAAAGTTAAAAAAGTCAAAAAGTCAAAAATCTCTTCCCAAACTAAACTTTTTAACCCAGATTAAAATAGTCAAAAAAATTAAAAAATTAAAAAGTCAACCCACTTCTCCAAGCGAAGCATGAGCCCTTACAACACGAGAAGTTATTTGGTCTACGATCACGATTTCCTGGTGATTAATTTTTGGTGACAGAAATTTGGAGACCAGCATGAAACATGCTGTATGAATTAGGATTGGATCTGGACTCATGCTGCATGGTGAGTGGTGGGGCATGGACCGGACCACTAAATAATTTTTTTTATAATACCCACAAACGGCTGAGATTATTGGAAATAAAAGTAGTAGTGAACTTAAAATTCTATTAAATTTTTTATCAAAGTCTTATGAAAGGCTCATATAATATATATTTAATGTGATATATGAGATTTATGTAATATAAATCTCATGAAATATTGAGTAAAAATTTTATGATAGTATTACATGTATCAATTAGTATAGTAACTAGTGTATTAATACTAATTATAATATTATTATTAACCTCACTCATTAATTATATTACAAATATTAAAAATTTCTTAAATTATATTACATCATTAATTAATATACTAATTGATACATTAATTAGCGTTTATAGTATTATTTTGATACATTAATTAGCGTCTATAGTATTATTTAAAATTTTGATACAACTATCGGTGTCTAGCATTTTTGGAAATGGAAAGCATCTACAGGGCCCAACTGTGCGGTGCGGTTACACGAAGCAGTATCTAAGTAGCAACTTGTGCAGCGGTCACGCCTCGCTCGCTGGTTTCTCTCTCTCTCTGTGGGAGTGAAAAATGCAAACCCTAGGTAGCTCTCAGTGTTTGTCTGTCTCAAGCCACCGTCAGTTTCTGTCGCCGGTGGCCGCCATTTCAGGCAGAAGTTCAAGTTCATGCTCCCTTCCATTCTTCCCGACTTTGCAATGCCACTCTCTCCATTCTCCATCCCCAGGTCTCTCTATCTCTCTCTCTTGTAAATATTGTTTTCTTGAGTAAATTACACATAGTCCTCTTTCACTTTTACCAAAATCTCATTTTGGTCTTTTGAATCAAATTTCAATTTTACTCTTCTGTCCATCTATGATGGGTAACGAAAATTCAAAGTATAGTGAGATTTTAATAAAAGTCTAAGCGTTTTAATGAGATAATAAAAAATATCAAATATGATTTAAATGATAAATTTTGTTAAATTTGTTAATCGTAGATGGATGGATGGATGGATGGAAGGGTAAATTTTATTAAATTTGTTAGCCGTTGCAACTTGATTTAAATGGTAGGTTTTGACTTGACAAGGGACTAAAGTGAGATTTTGGTAAAGTACAGGGTACTAAGTGTAATTTACCCTTTTTTTAAGTGTAATTTTCTTTTTTTTTTTTTTTTTTTTTGTTGATTGTTGCTTTAGGATTTGAAAATTTTATTTCTGTATTTTCTGTGCAACAAAATGGAGCTTCTCAATTGTAGTTTAATTTTTTTTTTTTTTTATTTTTATTTTTAAAATTTTTACTTTTACCAGTCATGGATGAGACCAAGTTTGAAGAGGCTTCAAGAAAGGGAAACTTGATTCCGCTTCACAAATGCATTTTCTCTGATCAATTGACTCCGGTGCTCGCTTATAGATGCTTGGTTAAAGAAGATGATCGAGAGGCTCCGAGCTTTCTGTTTGAGTCAGTCGACCCTGGTTTCCGTGCTTCCAGTGTTGTAAATGCCTTTTCGCTGCTTATTGGTTTTAAAAATGGAAATTACTACATAATTAGAACTTACATACAAAATTTACAATTAGAATAATGTGATAAGGACTTACTCATAATTACGATCATATTCATGGGCTATTGTTGAAAGGAATATTTTACAAACAGAATGTGTAAAAAGATTTCTTATTATGGTTATAATTATAGAAAGGTAAATTTAGCCATAAACCCCGCGCAGCTTCCTTTTTCTTGTTAAAAAGACAAAAAAATTTAGCACTTTCAAAACTCTCTTATAATTATAAAATTTTGTATAAAGGACAACATTTGTTATTTGAGTATTTTATTTTACCATTATACCCTCTCTTTCTTTCATTTCTTTTACAGCTCTCTCTCTTTCCACCAACTCGATGGTTGTTCATCGTCTCTACCATCTTCATCGTCTATTAGCGTCACCCATCCTCACCGTCGGCCGACAACCATCATTTTTACCATTAAATCACCGCCATCTCAGATTTGATACTTACAAACTCATATTTGAGATCAATAACTTCAGATTAGAAGAAAAAAAAAAAAAAAAACATTTGACAAAAAAATGAGAAATCAAGATATTGCCATAAAAAATTAAGAGTTTTTTTGTTTGTTTGTTCATAGATCTAAAAGTAAAATTTGACTCTAGTTTGTTCATTTAGGCCTAGTTTGGGAAGACTAAGGGGTTGTTTGGGGTGTTCTAAATAAGTGTATTTTTTGTCTTTTTGGACTAGGGCCAAGTTTGGCAACTCTTAAAAAATCCAAAAGTCAAAAAGTCACTATCCTATTTAAATCACATCATCTTATTTAAGTCACATCACCTCTCTAACACATCACTTCAAACCCAACCCATATTTCATAAAAATTCAAAAAGTGCACTTATTTAGTCTTCCCAAACTTGGCGTAAAAAGTTGAGGGAAAAAATATGGATGTTTGGGTTAACTTTTTGACTTTTTATGGAAAAATGTGTAATAAAAAATTGTAAAAATTGGTTTGTAGAGGAAAATTAGGATTGGGAGTTGTGCAGCCGTAATTGTTGACTTTTGGTGAATAGTGTTAACTTTTTAACTTTTTGAGTAACTTTTTGAGTAACTTTTTGACTTTTTTTAAGTATCCCAAACTAGCCTAAATAAGTGCACTTTTTGACTTTTTATGAAATATGGGTTAGGTTTGGGTTGGGTTTGAAGTGATGTGTTAGAGATGTGATGTGACTTAAATAAGATGATGTGACTTAAATAGGATAGTGACTTTTTGACTTTTTGTCTTTTTTCAATCATGCCAAACTTGGCCTTAATATGTACTCTGTTTTCGTAACAATAAAATTTTACCCTAGTTAACAACATACTGATCTACTTAATGACAGTAAAATTTTATTTTGAATCATAAAATTTTACTCTTTTTTTATTTTTGATTTTTAGTTTCAGAGTAAAATTTTACTCTGAATCAGAGTAAAATTTATTATAATCCAAAGTAAAATTTTACTCTGAAGCAAGCTGCAATAATGGCTTTACAAAAGAGTTTATGTCATGAACCAGAGTAAAATTTTACTGTTGAAAGAACAGAGCATTATGAAAAGAAGAAAGAGAGATAGAGAGACAGAGTTCGAAAACAGAGGATCAAGAGGAGGAGAAGAAGAAGAACAAGAAGAAGAAGAAGAGAGAGAGAGAGAGAGAGACTGAAGGATCTCAGATTTTTGGTTTGCAAACCGTCGCAAATCGTCATTTTCCAGTGACTACAATTGTGAATGATCTCAGATCTGAAGTTGTGGATGCAACAAATGATGGTGGTGATGAAGACGGTAGAGAAAGAGTTTCATGGTGAGTGGCGGTGGTGACGATGGAGAGCAGCGATGGCATCGATGAAGAGAATAGTGATAAGTGCAAGACAGAGAGGAGAGATTGAGATGAGAGAGAGTGATTACAAGTTAATACACACACACACACATATATATATATATATATATATATGTATATGAGGATATTATAATAAAAGAAATAAGTTTTAAAATACTTGGCGGTTTTGAAAGGATCTATATAATTTTTGTCCTTTTAAAGGACAAGTTAGACACTGAGGGGTCTATCACCAAATCTCCCCTTATAAAAATGTCATTAACACATCATTCTGAGTTTTTATATAAAAATTTCGATGTTTAGTATTTTTCTTGTTTCTTTAATGAAGGGTTCACAGTAAATATAATAATTTTGTATAATTTTGTAAAACCCTACTCTTTATGTATTTTATTTAGATGTGTGGTTTAGTCTTCAATTTGATTGTTTTAGGGTCGTTATAGCGTGGTTGGAGCTCAGCCTGCAATGGAAATTGTTGCAAAAGAAAATAAGGTTACAATATTGGACCATGAAAAGGGGTGCTTGACAGAAAAGGTTGTTGATGATCCAATGTCGATCCCAAGGAGTATTTCAGAGAGTTGGAGGCCCCAATTTATTGATGAACTTCCCGATACATTTTGTGGTAATTTGACTCTGTCAAATGATTGCAACTTACTTATGGGTCCACATTACTTCTACTGAATTTTCAGTACTTTTGGTTCAAACCACTTTAAAATCGATCTATTGGTGAAAATCAATCTATGAATGTGACTCAGCTTTAATCTGTTCATCACTATTGTTTATTGTGTAGAATATTTGGAAATTCATTTGGGCTCGCCAGCTTTGCTCATTGAACACTGGAGATACATTTTATGGAGATTTTAAAGAAAGTGTGATTCAACTAAATCATATACTTTACGCATGCATGGATTATGTGTTGTTTTAGTTTCATGCTAACTGATCTTTGTTGGTGAACATTCTTTAGTTACGTAGGTTTGTTGGTGAACCCTTATTAATTATTTTTATTGTAAACTTGTAGAGAAGCGAGCTCCATAATTATTGTGCAGCTTATGCCATACCATTCTTAGCTAGTCCAAAATCCTAGGATGATAACTGTGGTATGGGGATGGCTATTGTTAACTTGCAGTTGGGCCTCATGAACGTCAATCCTACGTAATTTGTAATTTTTTCTGGTGTTTTTACTAGGTGTCATACTGCACTGGTTATTGAAGAAGCCATCTTGGGTAAAACTGAATGGTTAAGAAAACGATTTCTTTAGCTGAACTCGAGTAGTATAATTAATGTATTGTTCAGTTGATTTTCATATCTGTAAATAACAAGCTGTCCATATATTACTCAATGCGTTTTTTATTAATGCAGTTACCATTTGCATAATATTAAAAAAAGGTACTGAAATTTTGTTCTATCATGTACAGGTGGGTGGGTTGGTTATTTCTCATATGACACAGTTCGTTACGTAGAGAAGATGAAACTGCCATTCCCAAGGGCACCACAGGATGACATGAATCTTGCTGATATCCATCTAGGTCTCTATGATGATGTGATTGTTTTTGATCATGTAGAGAAGGTATTTTCAGCATTAAAAATGTCTCTCTTACAGATAATATATAATTCAAGTCACCATGTATGTCTTACCACTGTTCTCATGGCTAATCCAATCATCTTGCAGCTAGTATTCTCTTAAACCCCTTTCAGCATTGGTAAATATTGCATGCAAGTTCTTAGAGCACCTTCTAATTCAGAGACTGTTTAGACAAAAGTACATAAGCAGATGGAAAATGCATGTCTTTTTTGTGGGGTTTAATCGTTCTGTTTTTCTTTTGCTGAGTGACAGATGTCTGTGTCGCTAGACAGTTTTATTTCCATAATTCATACAATTTGCTTGTTAGTAGCTACCAAGACATGTTACTGCTAGTCTGTGTAATTTATTCTGCATATTATTGAATAATAAATCACTTCCGCTTAGTCCTTTTATAGGTTCTCAACATTTAGTTGGGTGATATTATCAATCTGTCAAATTCAAAATTGTTTACATAAAGGCTACAATCATCAATCTGCAAGTTGTCTTCGAGGAATTCAGTAACTTTGACTTGGCTCCATCTTGATTGGATTTGGGGTTGTAGAGTTTCTTTCAAAACTCTGATGAGGGCTTTTTGGGTATTCTGTGCATCCTCAGAAAGCATATGCAATTCATTGGGTTCGGTTAGATCAGTACTCTTCCATTGAGAAGGCGTATGATGGCGGAATAAAACGCTTGGAAATGTTGGTGTCCAGAGTATTGGATATTGATCCGTGAGTAACTAGTGTACTCTTTCTTATATAAATATGTAATAGAATTCAGAAAGTCATTCATATTTACAAAACTTGTTTTTTGTTTGATTTGCAATTGTTAGCCCAAGGCTGTCTCCAGGTTCTGTGGACTTGCATTCTCAGCATTTTGGCCCTCATCTGAAGAAGTCGAACATGACAAGTGAGGAATACAAGAACACAGTACTACAAGCGAAAGAGCATATTCTTGCTGGGGATATTTTCCAAATTGTGTTAAGTCAGCGTTTTGAACGACGAACATTTGCTGACCCGTTTGAAGTCTATAGAGCATTGAGAGTTGTGAATCCAAGTCCATACATGAGTTACTTGCAAGTCTGGTCTTCTCTGAAACTATATAACACTTTCCTGATATTGCCCCTTCTTTTGGTGATTGCTAGTAACAATTTTTAAATCTTCTCTTTGTTATCAGGCTAGAGAGTGTATTCTTGTTGCTTCAAGCCCAGAAGTTCTCACACATCTAAAAAAGGTAATTTATCAGGCAATTTGCTTCTGACCACTTTCATATAGGGTTCTTACAAAATGTTCACTGTATGATTTATCCGTTTTGACTTTTGAATATTAGCAACTTCTGGTTGTTTCCAAAATTTTAGATCTTGTGCTTGTTATTGCTATTGTTGTAATTTTGTAAACACTGACTGAGAAGTATGTTTATTGGTCCATTCTTATGGACAGAAAAAGATTGTTAATTGGCCATTGGCGGGGACTAGCAGAAGAGGGAAGACATCTGATGAAGATGAGATGTTAGAAAGTCAGCTGCTAAATGATGAGAAGCAATGTGCAGAACACACTATGCTGGTTGATTTGGGATGGAATGATGTTGGAAAGGTTTCTCTGAACTTTTCTACCAATTATTTGGACATAAATTATGTTATTTACCCAAAAAAGTATGGACATTTATTTTGTTGTGGTTGTGGCTGTAAGTTATTTGCCAAGTCATGTTCCAGCTGAAATTTTTAGTTCACGGTAGCTTATAAAAACCCTATCTTCCTATTCCTTGGCTTTAATGTGGTTACCATTGTTTGCTTGAGACAATGTTATCAATGGTGCATTGAGGTGTGCGCCCAGGTGTGAGGCGCACTTATGGCGCCTCAACATCTCTGAGGCAAGGCGAATTTAATGAAGCACAACCTAGGTGCTCAAGGTGTGGGAGGTGTGCAAGGCGTAGAGAGACACACGCCTCTTTCAATTATGCTCAATTTGTTAAAGATGCAATATTAGCCTTTCGATCTAATGAAGCCTATTATGATTTTATGTGTTGGCACATCCTATCAAAGGCCTCCAAATAAATGAAGTGCTTCAAGTCTAGTCAACAAATTGAAGATGCATATCAAATCTTTTATATTTTGGCTTACATTCCATTTTTTATTTTTCCCTCTGGATAGTGAAGATGGTCAGATAGTAATTTGCAGTCGAAGTGTTTATTATTTAATGACTTAATATGCTTAATTGCTTGATTGTGTAATCGTTTAACTGTTTTTTATTATTTAATTACTTGATTTGAATTGATGTGGTTCAAGTTATCAAGCACAATATAATGTGAAATATGGGGAAAATGTTTGAGACCCCTAAAAAAGCTTCCACAATTTATCCCACAATGATGTGGTATGATAGGTGTCAGTTTTTGATTTGTCACACACTCAATCATATGGAGCTCAACTCCCTTGTCACATCATTATAGGTGAATTTTGGAGTCTAAATTGTAGGTCTCTAGCATTTCTTATTATATGGTAATAATCTCATGTAAAAAAACAAAATGACATTGGTTAGTCCATGATAGATAAAACATACAATAAATTTCTCATACCCATAAAAATTATGCAATATTTGTCATATGAGCCTTGCTTCAATGAAGTCCGCACCTCGCACCTAGCCACAGGAGACGTTGGTGCCTCACTGCCCTACTTGCCTTAAACAACACTCATTTGAAAGGTCACATAAAGACATTTGCAGTGTCTTTTGTGATATCTATTGGTGTATGGCTCTTGGCTGGCCTGTTGTTGTGGTCATCATTCGCCTATCTGGATACTTTTACACTGCTGTGATTGGGTTTCAATAATTTGATCTGCATTTCTTTCTTAAAATATCTTGTCCCTGGAAAAGTTGTTTAGATGACATACAATTAAAGCTGTTGTATCTTCAACATTATGTTTGTACTAGATTTTGTATAGCAAATGGGGAATGGGGTTTCTGGACATATTCTATAGCACTTGTGTATTGGATGATAGTAAAACTGGATTTCCTTGTTAAGTTTGATCATTTATAGTATATTGAGGGAAATTTCACATTTTATCCAAAGATAGAAACACCGAATTTCAATCCCTCATATAATTAGAATTTAATTAATCCCAAAAACCTTTTCTTATTTCATTTACCGTATCACTTTTAAGTTTGTTTCCTCAAAATTGGTCTATCTTTTGAACAGATTTGCATATCCACTCTTAGTTAACTCATGTAGGCTTCTAAATAGTGTTCTGTGAATGTGGAAAAGCTCATGACTGTTGAACAGTACTCAAATGTGATGCACATCAGCTCCACGGTGAGATTGCTCAAATGTGGATTGAGTTTCTGATGTGAAAATTGTACCTTCTTGTTACGTTGATGGAATTTTTGCTAAGTAAATATTTTATGCATGATATATACACATGTCAAGTGTTGCGCTTCCTCTGGTGCCTTGTAGCCAATTGTTTTTATCTGTCTGAGGTGGGGTGGGGGAGGTGTCCAGATATTCTAAGGGAAATACCTAAAAATGCACCTTAGAAAGCAACCTGAAACATTTATTTACAAAAACAGTCTGATTTTCTTTTTATTCACAGGTTGCAGGGGAACTGCAAAATGATCTGAGTTGTTGGGATGCCCTGTGTTCAGCTTTGTCTGTTGGAACAGTTAGTGGAGCACCAAAGGTTATTGTTTGCATTGCTTGTTTCCCTTTTGTTGTCAACTTTGTCCTTGGTTCTGGCTCTTCATTGATAATGAAATACTCTTATGGTGACTTTATTTTCTGATCTTTTGAGATAAAATAGTGTTCTGCTTTGTCTTTGTCACCTTGTGGGTGTGTGGGACTTGCATGCTCCTTTTGTGAAAGGCATAGTTGTGCCCTTATCACATTAATTGGTTATGTTCTAAGAAGTATGAACATTTCTAAGAAGGTGGCATATCGTGTAACCTTGTTAGACATCAAAATGACATTACATTCGTTGGACACTTCCCAACACCTGTTGGACACATGTCCAAACATGTCCTATTTTAAAAATTTTCTGGACTCGTAGATGTTTCAAACACTTGGGGAACATGTGCCTATCTCATACACATAAAACACATTACAAGTTGAGTAAAATAACATAGAATCCAATGATAAAAGACAATATAAATTTATATTATACCTGTTCTCATTTTAACTTTAGAAAGTATCAAATTTGAATTAAATATTACGACATAATTATTGATTATCCTTATATATATATGATATATAATAAAGATATAGATATATACTGCACTTGTCCTCTATGTGTCATGTTTTACATTTTTTGAAAATTTCCATGTTGGTGTGTTTGTAGTGTCACGTATTTTTTCTTATGCGTCTTAGATTATGTTCAATACACCGCTCTGTTCCATTTTATGTGCCTTACTTTCCTCCTTTAAAAGTCCCATTTTATGCGTATTAGTTTGAAAAGTAAAAAACTTCATCTATTGCTTTCCTATTTACCCCTTTGCATGTTTAAATACAATTACAATTCTCAAAAAGTCTATAATTCAAATAAGCCAAAGAGGCATATTTTGTGAATTTGTCATTCAATGATTCCTCAAACTTCGTGTATAGTCAACTAGGAGCGTTACGAAGAAATGAAACTTCTAGAAAATTGTAGGTGGTGTTGCACTTATTCCAGGTGAATGTAAAGTATAATGATCTTGTCATACGAGATTTGTAACATGGGACATGTCAAATTTGAGCTCCATCCTTTTTTCACTAGTGCTGTGTTTGGCATCTACAGGACTAGAGAAATTTCCGCCTTAACCGGTGTTATCAAAAAAAATTTCTTTTGGCTGCAGGATGCTATCACTTATTTATTTATTTTTATAGAGATGTGCATCTATTTTGTACTGATCATTAACTATGACATATTACAGGTGAAGGCAATGGAGTTGATTGATCAGTTGGAAGTAACAAGACGGGGACCTTATGCTGGTGGATTTGGCGGTATTTCATTTTCTGGCGAAATGGACATTGCATTAGTTCTCAGGACCATCATATTCCCAACTGGGACTCGATTTGACACCATGTATTCGTATAAAGGCTCAAACAAGCGCCAGGAATGGGTTGCTTACCTGCAGGCCGGTGCAGGAATTGTGGCAGACAGTGTTCCTGATGACAAGCAAAGAGAGTGTGAGAACAAAGCCGCCCGTCTTGCTCGTGCCATTGACTTAGCCGAGTTGGCATTTGTTGTTGACAAATGATGCTCTTGTCGCTTCCATGGGTATTTTGTTGCCTAGAAATTTTAGCGAGGTAACATGTGTTTTTGAGTCTAATACCTAGTTACTTTGTGTTGAATATGAAGAAAAAATGAAGTATGCCCAGTTTAATCTCCTTTAGGGTTTGTGATGAATGAACATGGAAAACATTTCTCTTACAGTTAGAATACATGCTTTTACGTAGATTTGGATTAGTTCTCAGGAAGGAAATCTTGAAATTTTCTTGGTTATATTATATTTTATATATATATATATATATATATATAAATTAAAAAACAAAAGCAAAGTCCTATTCTTAATTGTTATATTCCATTTAATCCATCTTTTTTTTTTAATATTCCATTAGGTCCTGTTTAGAATAATATGACCAAATTACCCTTCCAAATTTTTGTGCAAGTTTCTATTTTGAAATTAATACACAATAAAAAAATAATAATAACAATTTCTCATTCCATGGAGAAAATCTCTCCTTATTTTAGGGAAAATCTCTATACTTCAGGAATAAAATCTTTCTCGTGTTCCATAAAGAAAATCTCCCCCTTATTCTATCTCTCATTTATTCTATAGAAAAAATCTCTCACATTCCTAAAATCAAAAATCTTTTATCTTTTGAAAATCTCTCACTAAATGTTAATGTGAGCTTTCATATTACAAATGCATGTTGGTAAATAATTTTCACTCATGGAATCATACACTTTGGACTTCCCATGATTTATGCTAGTGTATGTATGACTTTTTTTTAATGGGAATATTAACATTAATTGTGATTTGTTGTGAGTAATGCATAGTTAATGCTGTCATGTTATTTTGGTATTATAGAGACACTGTGAACATTTACATTGTTGATAATTGATTATTATTGTGTGCATGTAACCATTCACGAATGTTGATGTCAACATTCTCATATCTATGTTATATTACTAAGATGTACAATATGTTTTGACCAAAATATCACATTATTATTTACGCTTATATGACTATTTCTAAATGTAAATATTAATATTGATTAAAGATGTGATAATCGCAATACCAATACGAACTTTCACACCATGTAATAATCATGTAAAAATCATAAAAACTTATATAATAATCAGTAATATGTGAATGTGAACATTCACGTTATGCAACAATCATGCATTCATCAGTTTACACTGTATATCATGCAACCATCACATGTTTCATGTTGAAGTTCACATCACTAAATTCAAAACATTAAATCTAATAATTCACAATAACAATGACTTTAGGGATGTGCACATTCACATTAACAAAAATACCTAATTAATAAGTATATATATACACGGATATATAATACCATATAAATCCAACTCGAAACAAAAAGTCGAATCTAACTTTAATAAATTATTGAACAATTCTGAACATACATCATTACCAACACATAGTTGCAAAACAAAAATGGTGCTAACCTTGCCCCTACGATATTTGAATGGAAAAAAAATTAGAGTTTCAAATTGCAATAATAGAAAAACACTGTTACAGAGTTTTGAAATAAAATAATGGAAGAACACAGAGTTTCAAATTGCAACAATAGAAGAATGATGATGCCAATAATGATGATGATGATGATGAGCTTCTTTTTGGGTTTCTTCTATTTTGTTTTTCTTTGATGATCATCACCCAATTTATCTCTCTGAGTTTTTGCTGTTTTGTGATTTTTCCTAATTTTCAAACGGGTAAATTAGAGAGAGAGAGAGAAAGTGAGAGGAAGTTTCTTTGTGTTGCAATATTCTTTTTCAATCATATTTTCTTGTCAATATTATAATTTAATAATACATATTTAGTTTTTAAAGAAACCTATCCCACTAATTTCAAAATAGTCAAAATAGAAAAAGGAAACAAAAAGATTGCGGGTGTCTTTGGTTTGTGTTTGTAAAGTAATTTTTGAGATAAAAAGTACGAAAACTTGTTTGATTTGCCTTTTTTCAGAAATAATTTTGGAAAATTATTTTGGGATAGAGAGTTTTAAAAAAAGTAATTGATTTGATGTGTAAGAGAGAGAGAGTGATTTTAGAAAGTAAGTAACCAAACAAAATTTTGAGATTTTTTTTGAAAAAATTTGTTTGGTTTGATTACTCTTACAAAATTTGTTTGTAGAGAATTTTTCTCAAAAATTTTTTTGAAAAACAAACCAAACAATACTATCAAAAATAAAACAAAGGGTATATTAGTCTTAAAAATATTATAAACAAAGAAAAAATGACCTTTTCGGATACAAGTCTAAATATATAGGATTAGATGGAACACAAGAAAACTTTATGAATTTATTGAGTTATAAGTCCTTTAAATGAGATTTATAAATAAATCTATCCAAGAAAAACTCAACTCTCTCCCACTAGTTAGGGGATAAAGGTCAATAAATTCTCTAACGAGACTTGTAATTGTGCTTTGTGCTAAATCCCTAATTTAGCATAATTGTTTAGTTAAAAACATGTTTTTTTTGAACTTTTTTTTTTATATTTAATGATTTTTTTACTTTTTTTTGATCAGTCTGAAGAGTCTAAAAAATTTTAAAAAAATACAAAATACAAAAAAGTTCACTAAAAAAAAATTTCAAAAAAAGGCAATTGTTTTTGAATTTTTTTGGTATTCAGTTTTTTTTTTTCCTCCCAATTATGTTGCCGCTTGGCAAAAAAATTTTTAGTTGATTTTTTGAAGTTGAGACTTTTTTAACTTGGGACTAAAAGGTTTGTTTGGCAATTTTTTTTTTTGATTTTTTTTTTACTTTTGTGAGAGAAAAAATGAAATGATTATGATTTAGATGTGAAATTGTCTTATATATTGATTTATTTAGTCTATTTTGTCCGTTGTGTTCTTTTTAATCCCAATTGGAATAGTCAAATGAAGCCATATATTTACTTTTTTTTGGTTTGTCTAATCGAACAGATTATAAGGTCTATAACTTTTTGAAAATTAATTTTTTTTACAAAAAAAAAATCAAAAAAAAAAGTTATTAAAAAAACAATCCTAAACATGTGATTTTTCTACATCACACAGACTCTCTGTTTTGTGAGAGGTACCCGTGTCAACATGATACGACACGGGTATAAGTGCAGAATACGGCCAGGATATGGCTAGATATAAATGGATACGGTTGAAACTCAGAGATGGAGAGAGAGAGAGAGGGCTGAAACTCACCTTTGTGAAGCAAGTCGAGTCGCAAAGCAAGATCGAACACGAACCCTAGTCCCGAGCTCGACCGAATCGAAGGAGATCATCGCGAAGTCGATTCCACGCAAAAAATGCTCCTAGGGCTTCGATTTCCCTTTGGTCTCTCTCTCTCTCTCTCTCTCCTTTTCATTTTCTGTTCTCTTTGTTTCCTTTCTCTTCTTTTAAATTAGATTTATATTATATAATATAACTTATAGGAATTTTTTTAAGGTCATTGATATTAAGATTTTATAAGATAAATGATATATAATATTTTTATAGTAGTTAAGGTTCCTTAACATTTTTACAGAGAAAATTCGACAAATTTTACCTGACTCAGAAAAATTTTGCCCTGACTCAGAAAAATTTCAATTTTTACAAAGATGGGGAAATTTCAAAATTTCTTTGAGTCGGGCAAAATCTCTCTGAGTCAAATTTTCTTTGTGAAAATGTTGAAAGAACTTAGCTAATAATAATAATAATAATAAATCTTGGACCTCTATTACACAAAGTTGGAGAGGGATGTTTTACTAATTTTTCTTATAAATTATATTAATATAATAATATATAATATTATTCATATTATATAATATTATTCAGCCAAAAGAATATTGTATAATATGATACATCATAAATAATATAATTTTTATTCCTAAGATAAAAATAATTTATTTTGTCATATATAATATAATTTATTTTATGCCTAAAATAATTTTTATTTGTTAGTTATATTGTATTTGTTATTTTTTTTAACAAATTTATTATTCCTTAGCAATTTTTAATTTTAAAATATCCCATCTCTAAATACACACTTGCACCCGATACCCGTATCAGATTCTCCGAAACATTGTGATTTTTGTATAAATAAAGAATAAGAGAGCAATAACAACTGCATTCACATGCTTGAAGTCGTAAACAACCCTTTTTTTTTTTTTTTTTTGGTTCTTTCTTCTTTCTTGGGAAACAAACAAACTACTCTTCTTATACATCATGGAGAATGCTGTTACAGAGAATAACCAACAATGTAAAACATACATGCTTGGACGAGTCTAAACACCATGACAAACCTTGAAAAAAAAATAACAGAAAAAATTAATTTCCATTGAGGCCTTAGTTCTTCATCCAACAGTTTGTTGGAAATGGTTGGAAAATTCTGAGTCAAACCAGATTTTTTCTTAAGTTTGGTCTATTTTTTAGGTGGGTCTCGTGCGTCGATTGTCACGAGTCAAAGTGGTAACGCGTTTTATGCCGCGTTGTGATTCACGTGGTATATTTGGTTGCTCAAAACTATTACCGGGTGAATGGAAAATTGAAGCTAAAGTATGCTCCATAGAAATGGAGTTTTTGTGAAAAATCCTTAAAGGTTTGAATAAGACTTGTCCCACATTGATTTGGTGGGAAGTTTTGAATGAGTTTATAAGGCATGGGATTGGAACTTGGGGTGTGCTCTACGGAGTACCCAAGTGTTTTAGAGAGAGAGGTTATGGGCAAAATGGGCTAGACCCATTGGACCAACTAGGTTGGGCCTGGGCGCGAGTGCGTGGTGTGAGGTTAGGTTGCGCTTGTCCGACCTAATACCTTTCTTTTTGGGTCAAAAACATTTGAATTGAATTTTATTTTTTGAAAAGTAAAATCCAGAATTCAAATTAATTCTGAAAATAAACTGGTCCGATTTTTCTGTACACCCAAACAGGTCCCTTCCCGTTTTTATCTGTTTGAATTTTGAACCCAACAGATTTAAATCTGTTTAATTCAAAACCAAACAGGTTTCATGCCTGTTCAAATAGGTTTGCACCTGTTTAATTCAAAACCTGTAGCCACCAATGCATCTATAAATAGGACAACCCTCATTTGATGTTTTACATTCAGAAATTTCGTACTTCACCTCTGCAAATTTATTTTTCATTTTGCTGCATTTAATTTTTTGTAAGAAAGAGTATAAACACTTAGTGTGTTCGTTAGACAAACAATTTGTAGTGCTGCTATTGTTTGTAGTTGATCATTTCATCCTGGGAGATAGATGTCCACATTCT